TAAAAAATTTGATATTTTGTATATGAAAGCATCATAATGTTTACTGATAATCTGCCAAAATTCATTAACATTTTCTTACTAATTTAAAAGTTATAACATGAAAGCTATAACAAGCACAAAATGGTTATGAGGTTGGTTTCAGGGACCAAGCTCATGCTAAAAGAGTTAAGGAAGAGATTAGACTGGTGAGGAATCTTCCATCATAGATAAAGCTGTGCCTATAGCAAACCCTGTTGGGGGAAACATGGTCAAAATTACCAAGATCCTGGTCAAGTTCAAATTGGGGAGAGGAACATCAGCCAAATAGATGGGAGGAAGAGGTCCAATGTGCATGAAAGGACCCACAACATGTTAACAATGCATGTTACATCCTTAACAACAAGCCTCCATTAGCCACAACAGAAACAGATCCCTTATTTGTTCATCACTATCATGGGATGAATTCAAAATTGCAGAAAATCACCAAATGTTTGTTGTTGCTTTTCTCTAAGTGAAATTAAAAAAACATGACTATCTCCATAACAGGTCCATGTACATTAAACGAAAAACTAAACAATTATCTGATTTACAAAAGCTAACTGAGCTAAAATAAGCTTTCCAAGAAATTCAGCTAGACATCATAAGCTTGTATTACTGGTTGCATGTTTGATCTGTCTATTTATATATATATATAGCAACTTGAAACTAGTCTTTCCATGAAAGGATCAGAAAACAGGCAGTTCAAAGTTATATTTTCTAACAGTTAAAATGTTAAATTGATTGGATAAATTTGTGAACTTTTGTGACAAAAACATCCCAGAATATGACCTAAAAGGTTGCAATTTCTCATAAATGGATGGATAACGTTTATCATGTTTTCCTTAACGTTATTTTCTTGTATACATGTAAAGTGTTAACTGCAGAGCCCACATATTTACACACAAGGGTTGGATTTGGGAAACTAGCTTTTCAGAGATAATGGACATTCAAGATTCTTATTCCATAATGTTGCGACAAGTGTTATATCCCCAACTCATTAAACATGTTGAAAGCTTCCAGCAAGTAAAAAGTACACTACAATGTTGATTCAAACACTCTGATATTTGTATTTAAAATGAGAACAAGCTGTTAAGGGCAGCCAGTCCCCAAATCCCCATCAAGATGTTTATTCATTTAATCTTAACTTATATTGCAAAAACCAAATATCTGTGGCTGTCCGACCTTCAGACCAACGTGTCTTAGTAAATACTGGCAGCAAAATAATGTCTTATTATCTACATGTTACACAAAGTTAGGATGTTTAAATTTTGTTTGATAGGCAGACAAAATATGTATACATAGATCAAATTAAATGGGGCCATAAAAATTAAAAGTTTAAATAACTTTGCCATCTTGCCTTTCCTTGTGTTGTTACTATAAGTTATAGCTACACTAAGTTCTAGCTCACTTGTTAAAGATTAAGAACTAAAAGTAATTTTTTGTTATTAATTTTAACATTAATGTTTGCCAATTTTATTAAAAAGTATACTATACTTCATTATCTGTAAATATGTGATATAGTCTTAGTTAGGTCTGTATTAGCTTAAACATCTCTGTATAGCATAATCTTAAGTGTTTGGCAGGCACTCATTTTTAAAATACAGACCTCACGACATAGGGTAATCATAGTATGAAATTTAAACATTACCTATAATGTAGTTCATTCCTTTTTCTTCTATTTACTTGTTTACCTTCACCAATCCAAGAAAACTTTTCTTTTTTTGTTTGTTCTATTAATGAAGTAAACTGCATTTTGTAATAACAATTCTCGGTTAAAAATTCCCAGCCAAAATTCTAAATTAAAAACTGAAGTAGCACATAAAGAATAACAGAGCCCGCGGTATAAATCAGAATGAGCAATCCTGTTTAGTCTTGCTACAAACTACTGTATCCTGAATTTTCAAAACCCTACTCGAAAGTCCAAGTAATAGTAATACTAATACTATTTTTAAATATTTCCACATTTCTCAAGTAATTGTAAAGTGAAAATACGGATAATACGATTAAGTTTTGTTTAAAAGGAAAATCAAAATATTATGAAAGTAACTTCCTAAAATATAACAAAAAGTTTATTTTTTAACAAGCACGCCTATTTCAGAAAATAGTTTCCTAAACCTAAGGAATCACGTTTTCATGTTTGGCGGGATATTTCATCTCCTCCTACTAATGAAAATTGTGCAAGTATTACTTATAACTTGTCTGTTTAGAATTGTAAAATTATCGTTTCATAATTTATATGCATAGAAGAAAGCAATAAAAGTAACTATTAAAATATCAAATGATTTTCTTACATTATATAAGTTATGTGACAGCTTTTCCTTATTTTATTTTCCAAATAAATAAATGTTTAATGACAGTTGTTCTAAAATCTGCAGCACTGAAATACATATACTGGCCCCCTCACCTATTCACTCTGTGGTGTGTCCCGATGAAACTAAATTAACTCCAGAATTATATTGGATAGGTTCAATAGACAACAGGAAATTCGCTCAAAATATTGAATAAACTAATTTAGCTAAAGTTTCGTCGGAACGAATTTACGGGAAATCAATTAACAAACGGAGACGTAACAATAGGTTAGGCACTTCTCCTGTTGTAGCCTCATGAGTGTAAGCTCCATTAGCCTCTCAAAAGTGACAGATGTATTACATAGACTGAATGGCATGACAGAAAACGTGTACAAGTCGTCTCTCCTTCTAAAATCGTCCAATTAGATTAGCCAGTTTCCTGATGTCAGGATAGTATATTGCACCAATGAGACCCTTCAAATGCATCCAGATATATACATCTGTTCAAGGTAATAAAAGGCTGTTAATCTGAGTTATTATTCTCACCTGTCTAAAATCTGTACATCACTTGGGAATACCCCTTTTCTTCCGAACAGTCACTAGTGGAGATGATCAAGCATTCTCTGTGTGCCCTCCTAGCTCCTCTGTGAATCATGTTGAGATTGAAAGTTTACCCCCTGTTTTGGGGAGACTCACCACTTCCCCATGACCCATTCATCTTACAGCTCAGTGTCTACCATCTCAATTGATGTGAATGTAATATAACTCTGGTTGGTAGGTGTCACCTCTAATTGCACTTGCAATTTCTATCTGATGTTCACGGATGGCTTTCACCACAGCTGGGGTTGGATTACTCTGACTGGTGAAAGTCTGAGAGTCCCATACAGATTGTTTCACCTGGTTTCAGACTCGCTAGCCGCTACATCACTACATCGATTCTCAGTCAGTGTTTCTCAGAGGGAGAACTCGATCAGCCATTCTAGGTGCACCAGATTCTGACAGTTCTCTTTCCTGAGTCTGTGGCGGCAATAAAAAGTCCCGTGTCCAGAATATTCTCTCTCCTAGACCTGATAACTACTATCATTTAGCAATTGACTATCCCTCTAGATCAAAGTCCTTTAGTTATGAAAAATGCTATTTCTCCCAACACAAAGTGTCTTTAAACTTAATAACACAACAGTTCAAGTAAAGAGCATTACACTCTTCAGGAAATATAACAAACTTTACAATAATGATAGCCCGTGGTTAACACCAAACATTTGACACAAGTCCTTACTTAAAAAACTGGTTTATTCTTTCCGAATATAACTTTATGATACACTTAATTTCAACAATCGCGCTAAAACAAACGCTATAACAACGAACGTGCTCAACTTCAATAATACTCTCTGACTGCAGATCAATTACTCACTGTCTAAACACACATTGATCCGTCACGTCGTGAGCGTCTCATATATATATATACCAGACAAATATATATCTAGTAAATGCTAGAGCACCCCCGAAGGAACGGGATAGTTCTAGAAAGCAGGTGGCGTGACACTAGTCACGTGACCTCGCTGACGCAACACTATGATAACAGTGTCTTGGCTTTGGTTTCGTGTTCGATTTTATGAATGAGAACCTCAAAAATTGTATTTCAGTGGATTAAAAAACAGGCTTAAAAGTGAAACTCTGAAAATTTATGTTCATGTGTACAGAAGTGATATTTCTCGGTCATATCATGGGTAGACAAGGAATCTTCATTGATCATGCTAAAATAACAAAAGTGCAAGATTGGCCTCAACCTGTGACCAAACGAAAATTTCATAATTTCCTTGAGCTTGCATCGTATTACCAATCATTTTTGACAAAATATTCTCACCATTATTGGCTGTCTCTGAAGCGTGCTTTAGTAGAAGCCCCAGTATTGGTATAGTCACAACAGGATTGTGAATTCTTGTAAGACAGTGATGCTAGTGATAGTGGAATCAGAGTAGCGTTATCATAGTTGTAGGAATAAGATATGTAATATTAGCATACTATGCTGCATAAAATATGAATCGAATTTGGCTAGAGCATATGCTATTTCAATTGTGAATTAGTTTGATTATCAGTTAATAAGTAATGATAGTGTTACGCCTCCAGTTGTTACTT